TGAGCTGGGGGTGAGGAGCGGTGGTGCAGCGGTGTGTGCTCACTTGGCCTGTGCTTCGGCCTGCATGAATATGAACTCCCACTTGCGAGCGAAGGCCCTCTGCAATCGCGCCAAACTCTCCTGCAGCGCACACAGACAAAGGCACAGACACACACATGTAGACACACACATAGACACACACAGACACACACATGTAGACACAACACATAGACACACACAGACACACACATGTAGACACACACACATAGACACACACAGACACACACATGCACGCAGACCCACACACATAAACACACACAGACGCACACACGTAGACACACACAGACCCCACACATGTAGACACACACAGACCCACACATGCACGCAGACCCACACACATAAACACACACAGACGCACACAGACAAAGGCACAGACCCACACATGTAGACACACACACATAGACCACACACAGACCCACACATGCACGCAGACCCACACACATAAACACACACAGACGCACACACGTAGACCACACACAGACCACACATGTAGACACACCACACATAGACACACACAGACCCACACATGCACGCAGACCCACACACATAAACACACATACGTAGACACACACAGACCCACACATGTAGACACACACACATAGACACACACAGACCCACACATGCACGCAGACCCACACACATAAACACACACAGACGCACACACGTAGACACACACAGACCCACACATGTAGACACACACACATAGACACACACAGACACACACATGCACGCAGACCCACACACATAAACACACACAGACGCACACACGTAGACACACACAGACCCACACATGTAGACACACACATATAGACACACACAGACACACACACATAGACACTCACATACACGCAGATCCACACACATAGACATACAGACACACGCATGCACACAGAAGTGCAGAAATTAACAACAAGCAAGAATAATTAGGCAACGATGATGACGAACCCACTTGCTGTACTGCCATCCCCGGACAAATGGGGATTGACCCACTTGCTGTACTGCCATCGTACCCCGGTCACAATCCAGGCGATGTTGACCGAGACGCCCATGGGTAAGGATGGAGCTTCACGCGTGAGTGAGCGAGTGAGTGAGTGAGTGAGCGAGTGAGTGACTGAGCGAGTGAGTGAGTGAGCTAACGAGAGAGTGAGTGAATGAGCGCATGAGTTAGTGAGCGAGCGAGTGAGTGAGTGAGCGAGTGAGTGAGTGTGTGATCTAACGAGAGAGTGAGTGAGTGAGCGCATGAGTCCAGTGAGCAAGTGAACGGATGAGTCAGTGAGCAAGTGAGTGAGTGTGTGAGCTAACGAGTGTGTGAGCGCATGAGTCAGTGAGCGAGCGAGTGAGCGCATGGGTCAGTGAGCGAGTGAGTGAGCGAGTCAGTGAGCGAGTGAGTGAGCGAGTCAATGAGCGAGTGAGTGAGTGAGCGCATGAGTCAGTGAGTGAGTGAACGAGCAAGTTAGTGAGCAAGCGAGGGAGTGAGTGAGCGCATGAGTCCGTGAGCGAGTGAGTGAGCGAGTCAGTGAGCGAGTGAGTGAGCGAGTCAGTGAGCGAGTGAGTGAGCGCATGAGTCAGTGAGTGAGTGAACGAGCAAGTTAGTGAGCAAGCGAGGGAGTGAGTGAGCGCATGAGTCAATGAGCGAGTGAGTGAGTGATCCGCCAACCCTCGCTGCCTCCACAGCGCTTGGTTTACAAGGCAGCCCCGTGCAACGGCCTGACCAGCAGCAGCGGCAGGCGACCGTGAGCCCAGCACTTACGGCTTCGTAGTCGGCCAGCTCCAGGCGAGCCTTGTTCTGCATCGCCCTCTTGCACAGGTACACGGCTGCAGGTGACGAAAGGACAACGTTTAACCTCCTTCTCCGACGGGTGGCTGTTCGGGACACGGGAGTCCGACGTGTCGGAGCTTGTCCCCGGATCACGTCCCCGAAGAACGCTCGTTGGGTTCCACGCCGATTTATAATTCGCCTGCGCTCGTCGTTCAACGTCACCTGCCCCCGGCCAAACCGGGTTGCTTGGCAGCCTCGATAGGAGCGTGGCTTTAAACAACTTCGGCTGCTTTACATTTCCACGCGATGATGAGCCACTTTCGCTGAGCTATCGTTTGTGATAGCCAGGTCACTTCTGAAACAACATTCCTGCGGAGGGAGCTGGTAGGAACGTCGAGTTGCTCGGTCAATGGCCAGGGTCAACGGCGGCGTGGTGTATTCCGCAAATATGCCCGACTGTGAGGGCGGGCACAAGCCGGTGTGAATAGGTTAAACGTTGAGTTTTATAAGGGCACCACGGGGTGGCCAGCCCCTCCCCCCCCAGCCTCACCCCTCACACCCCCCACCCAGCCCCTCCCCATCATCCCCTCCCCAGCCCCTCCCCACCCTCCCCTCCCCACCCAGCCCCACCCTCCCCACCCAGCCCCTCCTTACCCTCTCCACCCAGCCCCTCCCTCCCCACCCAGCCCCTCCCTGCACGACGGACACAATAATCCCCTGTGGGCTGGTCTAACCAGGAGGTTCCTACCAGTAAAAGAGCTGTATAAGCTCAAATTCTTGGGTCTTACGGTAAAGTCACGTAGATAGGTTCAAAGAAAATAACAAACCTATCTGCATGACTTCACCGAAAGAGCCACGAATGAGTTCCTGCAGTCACGAAAGCTTTAAGTCATTATATAAGCTCAGTGGGGGCTTACCATCACCCTGGCATACATAGCAGGGGTCACCAAAAGATTTCCAAAATCATGAACAAACACAAGATCCAGGTCCGATTTAACACAGTGCATGAAATTCGTGATCTGATCCCATCTGTGAAAGACAAGATTCCTGACATGCAATATCCCGGCGTCTACAAACTAAGCTGTATCTGCGGCAGCAGTTACATTGGGGCAACTAAGCGACATGTCTCGGACCGTATTCGTGAACATGAAGCAGATTTGAAACACGGCAGGACCAATATTTCTGCCGTGGCTGATCATTATTTTAATGCGAATGGCTCACACGAAATTGATTTCTCTAAGACGATGGTACCTTGCAAGCCTACTGGCTATCAACAAAGATTAATTTAACACGTAGCCTTTCGCGACCAATATTATTCATAATCAACGTTTTTGGGTTTAGATCGCGTTATTTATAAATGTGTCGTAACCCTCCACCACCCGACACGGCCAATCAGTAAAAAATGTGTCACGTTTTCAAAGGACAAATTAATTGACTTCTTTAAAATTTTAAAATGCTGTTGATTCTCTCTTCAGCACACCGGTGGGCTAAAGAAGTCAATTAATTTGTCCTTTGAAAACGTGACACATTTTTTACTGTTTGGCCGTGTCGGGTGGTGGAGGGTTACGACACATTTATAAATAACGCGATCTGACCCAAAAACCTTGATCATCAACAAAGCTTAGTTCCTGAAGCCATCCATATAGTGCACAGACACAGAGACAATTTCAACCGAGAGGAAGGTTATAGACCGAACAATCATTGGAAAGATGTCATCAACCACTTTGGGTCACGACTTGATTTGTGTTTTCTTGTCAACCTCCACCGTCAGCAGTGTGGGTGTGTGGAGCGAGGTGCAATGCTTTGATTGGTGTAGACCTACTGCCGGTGTCGGAGACCTCCGGTCTAAACAAACAAAACAAGTCTATCTTCTTGGTTCTTTCGGTAAAGTCACGTAGAAGGGAAGTAATAAAATAATAAAAATAAAACATAATAAAACAATTTTCACGACGTTTCGGCCACAACGCAAGCAGCCGTCCTCAGGCGAAGAATGAAGCACCACCAAGCTTGGAGCGTATATTTAAGCTGGGTTAGAGGGGGGGAGGTGGGAAGAAGAGCGCCTAAACAAAATAATTTGCATATCAAGAGGAATTCAGCATATCCTCTTGATATGCAAATTATTTTGTTTAGGCGCTCTTCTTCCCACCTCCCCCGCTCTAACCCAGCTTAAATATACGCTCCAAGCTTGGTGGTGCTTCATTCTTCGCCTGAGGACGGCTGCTTGCGTTGTGGCCGAAACGTCGTGAGAATTGTTTTATTATGTTTTATTTTTATTATTTTATTACTTCCCTTCTACGTGACTTTACCGAAAGAACCAAGAAGATGAATCCCTGCAGTCACGAAAGCTTTAAATCGAAAACAAGTCTACTGCCGCGGTAATCCCAGGGGATCACCGCCGTACTGGAAACGAATAGAACTCGTCGAATCGTCGATTCGTTCAGCCGGGCTACCGGAGTCGGATCCCGGTCCGCCCCCCACCGTGACCCCAAGCCAGAATTGGGCCACACCCAACGGACATGGATCGGCGCGAGAGTGGATCGGCAGCACGTGCGGGAACAGAATCAGAATCTTCGTTTATCCCCGGGAGAAATCCGACGATCTACGAAGCTCTTCCCGTCGCGGATATCCGCTCTCACCGTAGTCGATGTTTTCCGGCTCCCAGCAGTTGGAGGGCCAGAAGTAGGGCGTCTAAAGCGGCGGCGGGAGGGGGGGCAGCGGAGAGAAACAACGTCGCTCACGCAACCGCATGACGCGACGGCACACCGCGTGGAACCCGCACGCTTCACCACGTGTTCGTGTACAGGGAGATAGAGTTTTGAGGTCCGTACGGCGTACGGCCGTTTCAATGCGGGCAACGACAAAATGTCCATTTGTTTGCGTTTTATCCCTTGTGACGGGACTTTGTAAATGAAGGTTGAGATAAATAAGGAGCACGGGGTGACTAATAGGGTCTGAATTGGTCTGTAGTAAGGTAGAGAGGGCACTGATAGGGTCTTCACAGGTATGTAGTGGTGAGTGCACTAGTGGTGAGTGTAGTCGTGGTGATTGTCTATTTGTTTGTATTTCTCCCTTGTGATGGGACTTTCAAGGATGAACTTTGAGATGTATAAGGGGCACGGGGTGACCAATAGGGTCTGAGTTGGTCTGTAACAATGTAGGGCACTGATAAGGTCTTCACAGGTATGTAGTGGTGAGTGTACTAGTGGTGAGTGTACTAGTGGTGAGTGTAGTGGTGAGTGTACTAGTGGTGAGTGTACTAGTGGTGAGTGTACTAGTGGTGAGTGTACTAGTGAGTGCACTAGTAGTGAGTGTAGTAGTGAGTGTACTAGTGGTGAGTGTGGTAGTGGTGAGTGTACTAGTGGTGAGTGTAGTAGTGGTGAGTGTAGTGGTGAGTGCACTAGTGGTGAGTGTAGTCGTGGTGATTGTCTATTTGTTTGCGTTTCTCCCTTGTGCTGGGACTTTGTAAACGAATGTTGAGATTTATAAAGAGCACGGGGTGACCAATATGGTCTGAATTGGTCTGTAGTAAGGTAGAGATGGCACTGGTAAGGGGTTGACAGGTACGTGATGGGCGTGCCGAGGTTAAGCCTTTCCAAGTTCCGAGACGTCTGCAAGCTGGCAGGGTGGGGTGGGGTGGGTCCCGTTCACCGCTGAATCGTGCAAGCGGGTTCAGCGTTCATTTTATTTAGAGAGAGGCATCGTAGTAGTAGCAGCGCCGTTGTTTTTACACGCTTTTATTTAACTCACTCTGTCTGTTGTTGTATCCTCAAAAAATATTGTAACTCAAATTTTGACTCACTTCCCAATGTGCTATCAACTGCAAACTTGGTATATTTATGTCATACTGATGACAAGTCTATATTCTATCATTTAAAAAAACATATATTTTAAAACATTCTGTTACACGCTTTTGATAAACTCTGTCTGTTGTCGTATCCTCAAATATTGTAACTCAATTTTAACCCACTTCCCAATGTCGTATCGACTGCAAACTTGGTATACGTATGTCACACTGGTGACAATACTATATTTTATTATTAAAAATAAAATAAAAATACTTTTAAACAATCTTTTTCATATCTTATGTTTCGGCTTGGGTCTAATTGTCCACGCTCAACTAACGTTGGCTGTAAATCACCACGGCCCCTTACGTTATGGCAAGCCTTGGGGCCACTTCCTGGAGTTCTGCCATTACTCGTACGGTACATTTCATTAAAGCGTGTTTTAAAAAAAAGTTTTTTAAATATTACTTATTTTAAGTCGTTGTTACTCGCCGCAGAGAACCGTAGCTACACGACCGCCGCCACTCTGCGGTAGCCAGCACCCGAAACTGTGCCACGCGCCCTCCTGCCTGGCCTTGTGCGACAGAGTTACGGTATTTCATTTTTTCTTCTGATTCCATTCCGATGACGTACCATGACATCCGTGAAACGTCATCGCAATGGAACCGAAAGAAAAACTGACAGCATACACGTACGTCGTTCTGTTCACACAGAGACACAAAGACTTATGCCGAGACACATAGACTTATACGGAGACCCATACAACATAGAAGCACACAGAGACCCATAGAGTCAGAAAGACCCATAGACATATGTAGCGACCCATGGCTTCGCATAGAGACCCTTAGACTAAGTGAGAGAATCACACGTCATCGGAATGGGTTAAGGCTTAAGATGTATTCGGCCAATTCACGACGAGTCGTATTTATTACACGCTTGGGAGGAAGCCGGAGCACCCTGAGAAAATCCACGTGTGCGAGGGGTGTGGGGGGGGGCAACGCTCGATCCCCGTACAGAAGGAACAGATGGAGAGACGCTGACGGGTAGAAGGGAGTTTCGCACCATCTGTGCGGTGACCCACCAACCCTCACCGCCGCCGCTACCTCCACAGCGCCGGGTTAGAGGCGGCCGCCACCACCACCGCCACCACCACCGCCACCGCCAGCCGGGGTAACCGCGCCATCGGCACCGCACGTCACGAGCGGAGCACAGTTTGGTAAACCTTGCAGAGTGCTGCATAGCCCCCCTTGATGAAGAATGGGCCGTGGAAGGGGATATTACAGAACAACTCCCTGGCTCCTCTCCCCCTCTCTTACCTATATAGCCTCTTGTCACAGCAACCCTTTTGCCCACTTCAGCAATTGTTTCTTGCTGTGGTTGTCCCACCTGATGACGGTCGCTTGTGTTGCGCCCGAAACGTCGTGAGCTAATTATTTTATACCCACGTGACTTTACCGAAAGAACCAGAGGACGTCACCCGCTGTTGTCGACGCCACACCACTAGGGGGAAGCACTACGCCACGCAACCCGCCCGGAGAGAGCGAAACGTCTCCCTGTGTTGTTGAGGCGAGGCGGCTGAAAGGCCGATAACCTCCACCCCACCCCACCCCTTCCATCATCTTCCCCTGCCCATTAATACCACTGCTGCCCTCCCCACGCCTGGGCAGCGAGCCGGGACACCCCCTCCACACCTGCCAAGTCACACCTGCATAGTCACGCGTCTGTATACAATCGGACATCTCTTCTTGGTTCTTTCGGTAAAGTCACGTAGAAGGGAAATAATAAATAATAAAAATAAAACATAATATGTTACATTTTTATTATAAATTGACTGGAGGAATCCGAAGAGCTGTGAAGCACTTTTTTTTCACCGGCGCACAGGAGATTCACAGATGTCCGAATTCGATTTAAAGCTTTCGTGACTGCAGGGATTAATCTTCTTGGTTCTTTCGGTAAAGTCATGTAGAAGGTAAATTAAAAAATTAAAAAAATTAAAAACATACTATGTAAAAAAAAATGTATTTTATTATTTCCCTTCTACGTGACTTTACCGAAAAAACCAAGAAGATGAATCCCTGCAGTCACGAAAGCTTTAAATCGAAATCGGACATCTGTGAATCTCCTGCGCGCCGGTGAAGAAAAAGTTCTTTACAGCTCTTCGGATTCCTCCAGTCAATTTATATATTTAAAATAATAAGATAAATATTCTGATTCTGCACGCTCACACCTGCCGAGTCATCACACCTGCATAGACCCCCCCCCCCCCCCGGCGCTCACCTGGAACCGGTAGAAGGTGTTGTCGTCTTTCAGGGTGAGCACGTGGTCCGAGATCGGGAAGAAATATCCGTGAGCAGACACGAGCGTGCCCAGATGCAGCGCCTCCGCTGCGCACAAAGACAAAGGTGTCCATCAACCCCCTGCACGCCACCCGCCGCCACGGTATAGCCTCAGCAAGCTGCTGGGGCAAGTGCTGTTGTATGTATGGTGAACTTGTTTTATTACCAGAAATGTCAGAAACCTATAATTATTATAATTTGCTTTAAGGGGGCGTCCATAAATGACGTCACGCGATTTTGGATGATTTTGACCGCCCCCTTCCCTCGTCACACGGCGTCACAAAAAGTCAGACCCCCCCTCAAATATGACGTCACAAAGATCTGCCCCCCCCCCCAGATTAAATATGCTCAAATCGCTTTAAACTATTGTCATTGTAGTGCGTATTTAATGTGGCGCTGCACTCCGATGTTGTAGAGAAAACATTTATTATAAAGTATATTTATTTAAGTAGAACGTGTTGTCTATATTCATTTAAAGTTGCGCATTTTGATGTGACGTCACAATCCTCAAACCCCCCCCCCCCCCCTCGTCACACATCGTCACAAATGTCTGACCTTCCCCCCCCAGGTGCGTGACGTCATTTATGTACGGCCCCTAAGTGGTCTGATACTAGCATTGTCTTTGTACTGTTTGCCTGTTGGCGTCAATTCTCTGGTGTGACACTGGTGGTGAGACACTGGTGGTGAGACAGGTGAGCAGGTGAGTGGTGAAGTGAGGAGTCAGGTGAGTGGTGAGATGAATAGGTGAGGAGTGAGGTGAGTGGTGAGTGGTGAGGTGAGCAGTCAGGTGAGTGGTGAGATGAATAGGTGAGGAGTGAGGTGAGGAGTGAGGTGAGTGGTGAGGAGTGAGGTGAGTGGTGAGTGGTGAGGTGAGGAGTGAGGTGAGTGGTGAGATGAATAGGTGAGGAGTGAGGTGAGGAGTGAGGTGAGTGGTGAGGAGTGAGGTGAGTGGTGAGTGGTGAGGAGTCAGGTGAGTGGTGAGATGAATAGGTGAGGAGTGAGGTGAGGAGTGAGGTGAGGGGTGAGGTAAGTGGTGAGGAGTGAGGTGAGTCGTGAGTGGTGAGGTGAGGAGTGAGGTGATTGGTGAGGTGTTGAGGTGAGTGGTGAGGTGAGGAGTCAGGTGAGTGGTGAGATGAATAGGGGAGGAGAGAGGTGAGGAGGGAGGTGAGGGGTGAGGAGAGGAGTGAGGTACGTGGTGAGGCGTGAGGTGAGTCGTGAGTGGTGAGGTGAGGAGTGAGGTGATTGGTGAGGTGTTGAGGTGAGTGGTGAGGTGAGGAGTCAGGTGAGTGGTGAGATGAATAGGTGAGGAGTGAGGTGAGGAGTGAGGTGAGGAGTGAGGTGAGTGGTGAGGTGTAGAGGTGAGGAGGCCTCACCTGGGTCGTCAATGATGAGGTTTCTCATGAGCCACTGGACGATGTCCGCACCTGGTGAGGAGCGGGTGAGGTGGGGGGGGGCAGGGAGGTAAACGAGGTATTGATCACTTATTGACATTTGTGTCGAGAGCGGCTCAACCCTGCCGAGTGACAGTGGCTCCATTAATAATCATTCAATAGTGATGACGTCACGTCAATAGAGATGATCTCACGTCAATAGTGATGACGTCACGTCAATAGTGATGTCACGTCAATAGAGATGATGTCACATCAATAGTGATGATGACGTCACGTCAATAGTGATGACGTCACGTCAATAGCGATGATGTCACGTCAATATAGATGACGTCACGTCAATAAAGATGACGTCACGTCAATGGTGATGACGTCACGTCAATAGCGATGACGTCACGTCAATAGCGATGACGTCACGTCAACAGTGATGATGTCACGTCAATAGAGATGATGATTTGACCGATAATTACGACAGTGATGATGATGGTGATGATACAATAACGATAACGATGACCGCGGCATTGTTTAGAATCATAATGTGTATTTATACTGGAGGAATCCGGTGAGCTATCGGTACAAAAACACGATATGAGTGCAAAGTATACGAAAGGTAAACAAATCACTTGAAAAAAAATAAACTATGTTTATTTTACCAGGTAGAGCCCACTGAGCTACTAACTTCCTTTTTCAGAATCGGCCTCCCCACAAACGATAATAGCTCAACGAAGTGGGGCTCATCATCACGTGGGTAAAACATTATAGACGATGGCGACGATGACGATGGAGATGACGATGATGATGGCGATGACGATGATGGTGATGATGACGGCGATGACGATGGCGATGGTGATGACGATGACGATGGTGATGACGATGATGATGGCGATGACGATGATGGTGATGATGACGGCGATGACGATGGCGATGGTGATGACGGCGACGATGATGATGGCGATGACGACGATGACGACGATGGTGATGACGACGGCGATGACGATGGCGATGACGACGATGATGATGACGACGACGATGATGATGGCGATGACGACGATGACGACGATGGTGATGACGACGGCGATGACGATGGCGATGACGACGACGATGGCGATGACAACGACGACGATGACGATGATGACGATGACGAAGCGACGGGGGGGGGGGGGAGGAGGGGGAGGAGGGCGTCAGCGTCTACCGGTGACGACGCTGGGGATCTTGGAGAGGAAGCTCTTGACCGTGCGGATGGGAACTCCGCTCGTCTCGTCCTGCATCTTCCTCACCACCTCCTCCATCTGCTCCTCCTCGCGGGGTGGGGGAGGGTGGGGAGGGTGGGGTGGGCAGGGTGGGGGAGGGTGGGGAGGGTGGGGTGGGCAAGGTGGGGGAGGGTGGGGGGGGTGGGGGAGGGTGGGGGAGGGTGGGGGGAGGGTGGGGGGGGCAGGGTGGGGCAGGGTGGGACAGGGTGGGGGGGGGTAGTGGGGAGTTCAGGATGGGGGAGGGTGGGGAGGTAGTGGGTGGGGGGGTAGTGGGTGGGGGGGTAGTGGGTGGGGGGGTAGTGGGTGGAGGAGGAGACGGCACCACACACAGACGGGTCGCCCCCTGTTAGCGTCACTCGCTGGCTGTTCGGCTGGAGGAGAAGCCACGTGGATCAGCGGTACCCAGGAGGCACTGGGCGCCCGCGGTGGCTAGGAGATGTTAACTCCCTCGCCTGGTGTACAGGAGGTCGTGTGTTCGATCCTGACCCTGACGATGCCTGCTGCTGTATATTTGGAGTTTGCGTGTTTCTCTCTTATCATCATCACGGTGGCTCGGAGATGTTAACTCCCTCGCCTGGTGTACAGGAGGTCGTCTGTTCGATCCTGACCCTGACGATGCCTGCTGCTGTATACTTGGATTTTGCGTGTTTCTCTCTCATCATCATCACGGTGGCTAGATGTTAACTACCTCGCCTGGTGTACAGGAGGTCGTGTGTTCGATCCTGACCCTGACGATACCTGCTGCTGTATATTTGGAGTTTGCGTGTTTCTCTCTCATCATCATCACGGTGGTTAGGAGATGTTAACTCCCTCGCCTGGTATGCAGGAGGTCGTGTGTTCGATCCCGACCCTGACGCCTGCTGCTGTATACTTGGATCGTACTCTGCCCCGTGGTCGCGTGGATTTTTCGCCGGGTCCCTCCGGTTTTCCCCTCCACGTTTCGAGTCAACATCACGCATTCAGGGTGTCTGTGGCTGCTGCTCTCAATGTCCACGTGACGATCATACGAAGCCACCGCTTCGTGAGGCTGTCGTTTGTGACGACCAGGTCGCTTCTACAAAAAAAAGAAGAGCTACCTCGCTCAGTGGGCGGCCTTACTTGGTCAAATTAAAATTGCTTAAGAATAGAAATCCTAGCAAATCGGACTTCCCACCACCTTCTCGGGCTGCTGGTGAGAGAACCTCCAACGCATCAACGCTCACTCGAGCAGGAAATCGTCTTTGACCTTCGCTGTTTCGTGTTTAGTTTTTTGTTTTGGCAATCGTAAGGCCACGCTCGTAAGTTCTGAGACTAAATCCGCCTCCACGGGCTGAATTATTAACGACGTCCTCGCGGGGGGCGGGTGGGGGGTTAGCGCGATCGTAGGGGGCACCCCCCCCCCCTCTACCCCCCCCCCCTTCTACCCCCCCCCTCTACCCCCCCCCTCTACCCCCCCGCCCCCCCGCAGCCCGGTCGGCCCACTGGTAGAAGGGCAGCCCTAATTAAAGAGGCGCTCTCTTTGATGGGAGGGGGGGGGTTGGGGTGGAATTAATTAGGGGGGCCCACAAATGGCACGTGTGCGGATTCTGAAAGACACGAGGGGGGCTGCCATCCTCAGCTGCGTGCTTCGGTCACGGGGTTCTGCCTCCTCTTGAGATTTGAAACTAAAAACTGGGACGTGTCACGGGAAGACGAAGAACGAGACCAGAAGAGGGGGTCACCTATGGATAAAAGAATCGCCTTGTAGGTATGTTATGTGTGTTGAATTTCTTTCGCACTGTACGTAGCCAACCGTGCTAATCAGACGTACGGGGAGAAGTTAAGAAACGAAACACAAATTAAGTTGTAAAATAAATTAGTTTGCAATCTAGACGATGATTTAAAAGCGCATAGCTCCAGCAGCTTCCTAATATCGGAAAAAGGATCATTCCAGACGGCGCAGAAGCAGCGCATCTCGCCACGGTGGTGAGATGTTAACTACCTCGCCTGGTATACAGGAGGTCGTGGGTTCGATCCCGACCCTGACGCCTGCTGTATATGTGGAGTTTGCATTTTTATCTCATCATCATTACGGTGGCTAGGAGATGTTAACTACCTCGCCTGGTATACAAGAGGTCGTGGGTTTGATCCCGACCCTGACGCCTGCTGTATATGTGGAGTTTGCATTTCTATCTCATCATCATCATCATCATTACGGTGGCTAGGAGATGTTAACTACCTCGCCAAGTATACAAGAGGTCGTGGGTTTGAATCCTGACCCTGACGCCTGCTGTATATTTGGAGTTTGCGTGTCTCTCCCCGTGGTTGCGTGAATTTTTATCTGGGGGTGGCTGAGACTCGGATTCGAACCCAGGTCCTCAACGGCGAAGGCTCTGGCGTCTGCGCCGTCTAGCGAGCCACCAGGGGCCGCTTGCAAAGGAGGCTCCTCGTTTTGTTGCTGTTGGTTGCGCTGGGATGTGAAACATTTGACGCATTCGCCCTTCGCTGGCCGTGCGCGACGGATGAATGATGTCAACGACGCGGGCTCGTGGACGACTCTCCGGATTATAACACTGGTCAACACACTTTATCTGGCATAAGGTATTCCAACGGTATGAGACATCTCCTTTACCAGTGGCAAAATATAGTGATAGGTTTTTACCCTTTCAACTGGTACAAAAACTGACACCTTTATACAAGGGATCATGTTTGCAACAACCACAACACAAGCAGTCAATATGCAAACAAAAATAAACAACTCTGATAATGATATGCAGTACGCCTTTTGGCGTCATCTGGTCCAACACCAATGGAGACTAGGCTCTAAGAAAAGCTGTCTCGGGTGTGGACCAATCAACTTCAAGGACAGTGCATATCATTATCAGAGTTGTTTTTCTTTGTTTGCATATTGACTGCTTGTGTTGTGGTTATTGCAAACATGATCCCTTGTATAAAGGTGTCAGTTTTTGTACCAGTTGAAAGGGTAAAAACCTATTACTGTATTCCAACGGGTTTAAGGTAAATTTGGGGTGCCGATTCCAAATCTGGCATCAGTTTTTTGTCTATCACATCAGGTTTTTGAGATATCAAATTTATCATTTTCAATAAAAACTGCGGAAGAAAAATATTAAATAATTGTGGATATCTACATAAAATGATATTATAAACACACTATCCTAAAAATACAGCACCATATTTTAACACTAAAGCAGTCACCGACTCGCAACAACTTGCAATCATAAGTGACGGATTTAATTTCTGGTAAAATCAATGAAAATGGGGTATGCCGATAGCATAAAAATGAGATGTGATAGAGCAAATCTGAGATCAGATTTGGAATCAGCACCCTGAAATTAGTCTAGAACAGCTGCAAAACTCCAGGCCAGAAAAACATGTTTTTTTTTGTTGACCAGTGATATCGGCACGGTTGCTCTAACGCCGGGGTGGGGAACGTCCGGCCCACGGGCCGTATGAGGCCCGCGAAATCATTTGGTCTCTGGCCCTGCCAAGGCAACCGCAGGCAGGACTCGAAATTCAATAAATCTAGGAGCAAACCTGGAAAAGCAGTTCCGAGTAGCAACATCATCAATACCGGCTAACATCACACGCCTCACCAAAGAGAAGCAGTTCCAGCCATCACATTAGGGGTGAGTTAATTAAATATTTGACCAAATATAACCGGCAAATAAACATAATAACAAAAACATTCAGAGCGTCGTGAGAATGACAGACTATTTTAATTCTAACATGGATCTGAGTTCGAGCAGATATTTTGGTATGTCCCCCTACTCTTTGTTTTTTTCGGTAAAGTCACGTAGGTAAAACAATAAAATAAATAAATCACGACGCTTCGGAGGCAACACAAGTTCATACTTTTGTATGGCCCGCGAATACTACCACGGTGAGTAGCTACTAGAGTCAGTAGATACTATTATAGAGTGAGTAGATACTGCTATAGATTTTGTAGTTACTACTATAGTCAGTGGATACAACTATAGAGTCAGCAGATACTATACAGTTAGTCGTTACGAGTATATAGTCGGTAGATACTACTGTAGGCCCAGTAAATACTACTATGGTCAGTAGTTATTACAGTCACTAAATACTACTACACAGTCAGTAGCTACTACTGGCTCAGTTGATACTACTGTACAGTCAGTAGATACTACTACAGAGTCAATAGATACCACTTCCTCTGTTGTATGTAAGGTGTTGTTAGTATATATACCTACGAGGGGTAAAGATATTTTTTGAGGGGGGGGGGGGAGACCACAATTTTCGGAAACATTTTTACATCAACTATTTACCCCACACTTTCTACAACTTTTTGGACTTGTGAAAGCCTCTTATATATTTGTTGGTGGAGAAATGTACAAACAGCCCACCGGGCTTTGACAATACCTTAGTATCTGTGTGTATATATATGTAAGGTTTTTAAGAAATATATTTTTCACCCGGGCAAAGCCGGGTACTTCCGCTAGTGATGTTATAAATATCCAAATGGCCCTTGGCATAAAAAAAGTTACCCACCAGATCGGGCAACGTTGAAAAATATATAAGTAATAAATATAAATAAATAAAATATTGCCTCCATTGCCATGTGAGCCGCTGGACGGGAGGTGGCTTAGTGGTGGCATGGGCGTGGCTTGTATGGAGGTTTCCAGCTTTCGGGAGGCAACAGGATGTGGCGGGGGTGGCCGCCATATTTAAATGGCACCGAGTAATTGACAACAAGAAAAGTATTCATAATCAACGTTTTTGGGTTTAGATCGCGTTATTTATAAATGTGTTGTAACCCTCCACCACCCGACACGGCCAAACAGTAAAAAAGTGTCACGTTGACAAAAGACAAATAGTTCACTGCTTTAGCCCACCGGTGTGTTGAAGTCACAACATTTACAATTTGAGTACGACGTTTCGCTGGTAATTGCATCCAGCATCATCGGGCAATTCGCCAGAATTGTCAACGTGACACTTTTTTACTGATTGGCCGTGTCGGGTGGTGGAGGGTTACGACACATTTATAAATAATGCGATCTAAACCCAAAAACGTTGATTATGAATAACATCGTTGATTCAAA